TGCATCACGTATAGCATGACATTTTGCATTAAGAATTAACTACGAAAGAAAAAGAAAAATTAAAAAAAAAAGAAAAAAACAAAAAAATCTTCAATTCTAAAACGAACTTCATTAAGATGTTTAACTTCATCTTCTTGTTCTTGTCGAAGTTCATTTGCTCGTTTTAACATATATTCAGCTTCTTCTTTTGCTTCTAAATCAATATCTTCTAAAGGAGCATTTTTTTTACGTTGTTGATCATATTCTTGCATTGCTTTTTTACGACGATTAAGTTCTTCCTATATCAATCAAATTTTATTTTCGAACAAAATTTAAAAAATATTGAACATACTTCAACTGAATCTCGATTTCGTTTCGATTCTGCAATTTCATTTTCACGTATATCTTTTGGTCTCAATTGAGCTGCATGAGATAAACGTTGATATGTACCGTTATCAATGATAACCGACGTACACGTTGGATCTTCTGGAACACTATAAATCAAAAACAAAAAAATAAATAAATATAATTTGTTTGTTTTATTTTGTAAATTTACATAATATCTCGAATAAGATCTTTAGTAATATGCCTAATAAATTCTTTTTTAACAGTTCCAGGTTGTTTTGGTGCATTTTGTAATGTTTTTTCTTGATAATCTTGATTTTGTTGACGTTCAGCTCTCATTTTTGCAGCTGTTGCTAATCGATGTGGAGTACCAAATAATGTTTCATCAACTTCTGATTGTGCATTAACAGTACGATAACGATAATTATTTCCATTACGTTTTCCATTTGAAGATGATGAACCATTTCCACTATGGGAACCACCTGATGTTGATGCTGGTGACATTCTTTTTTTTTTCTAAAAAACAACTTTCTGCTATATTGAAAATGTTTGATTCTTCAATTGCCATGAACCATGTTATGTATCCATGGTAATACCTCTATTCGTTCATTAATCAACATATTCATTTATGAAATAAGAATATTTTCATTAAAATTAAAATAAAAAAAAAACAAAAACAAAAACAAAACTTTATTTATAAAATAAATTTCTAAAGAAAAAAAAAATTCGATAACAATAATGAAATGAATCATAGAGAACGACTTCAAGTTTTCTTTCTTGTTTAATATAGATTTTCATTGTGTTATCTCTCTTTAGTCAGATTGTCTGAGAAAAAAATAATAACAATGCCAATAAATGCATTTCAACGTATATTTGATTTTGGTTCAAAAAAAGATGATACAAAAAATGTATCATCATCAGATGCAATTAAACGTTTATCTGATGTTGAAGAAATGCTCAATAAAAAACAACAACATTTAGAATCACAAATTGAAGGAGAAAAAGCAACAGCAATACGTTATTCAAAACAAGGAAATAAACGTGGAGCTTTAATGGCATTAAAACGAAAGAAAAAATGTGAAAAAACTTTACTTCAATTAGATGGAACATTAACAACATTAGAAACACAACGAGAATATTTACAAAATGCATCAACAAATATGGATGTTTTACGTGTTATGAGACAAGCAGCAAGTGCTTTAAAAAAAACAAATCAAAATTTAGATGTTGATCAAGTACATGATTTAATGGATGATTTATCTGAACAACATACTGTTGGTATGTCACCTTTTTTTTTTCCTTTTTAATATAATCAATATTTTAACATTTGTTTGTTTTTTTAATATTTAAAGCGGAAGAAATTGCAAATGCAATTTCATCACCAGTTGGTTCATCAGATTTGTATAATGATGCTGATTTAGAACGAGAATTAGAATTATTAGCTCAAGAAGAAATCAAAGAGGATATGATGAATATTGGACCATTGCCTGATGTACCACCAGTTCAAACAACAACAACGACGACAATCAAAACAAATAATCAATCAGAAGAATTACGTGAACTTGAAGCTTGGGCACAATAAACAACAATATATATTTTAGAATATTATTTCGTAGCAACAATCAATATGCATGTTCTGCAAACTATTTTGTTCGTATTGTATTATTATAATTAGTCGGATTTTTTTTTCTTTGTGGATGTTTAACTCTTTTTTTTGTTTACTTAATTGTTTGTTATATCTAGCAAGAAAAACACAAAAGTTATTGAAAGTGCAGATGTATTTGACAAATAAATCATTATGAAATTTCTTAAAATATTTTCTTTTTTTTTGTGTGTGTGTGTTGTATGAAACAAAGAAAAATGATGTTATCCAGTAATGAAATCTTTCTATTGAAGATATTTATATCGGTGTGTTTAGATAATATTATATATGATATGAATATTTTATTATGTGTAGTGATGTTATCAATATTTCTTATTCATATAGAATACTTATAGATTTTCAATAAAAATAAAAAATTAATATGTCTTAATATTTATATATTATACTAATTAAATATAGAAACCAAACGACAAAACCTCTTCAGATGCTTTCGTCCGACAACCGACCAGTCTGTTACCGATTTAACGGCTTACTACCAATCTGTAGATAGTTACTGGTTTAACTTTTTTACTTTTCATCGAGACTCTTGCAACATTCTTATTGGCTCTAATTGATGTTGTTCATTAAATATATGATGAAGTTTTGTTGAAATTTCACGAAAAAAAATTATGCAAAAAACTTTAATACGTTCAGTATAAACAATTCTATAATTTTTTGTTATACACATTTAATTATAGCTAGAAGTGATAATAGCGGTCCAATGCTGGTACCGATTTTAAACCGACCGATTTCAATAATTTTTTGCCTATAGATACTACATAGTGTTCCACTAAAAACCCTAAAAGAATTTCAGTTACTATCGAATTTTGATCTGAAATATTGTGCATATAGAAAATTCAACTAGACTAACTTGAATAAAAAAGAATTCAGAAGTTTCGAACAAAGTTTCAGATTAAAACTCGATAGGAACTCAAATCACACTATGTAGTATCTATAGGTTAAAAAACTCTTGATATTGGAAGGAAGCAGCTAAAGAGTTTCTATCGTTATTTACCGGCTATGTACATTTCAAGCTACAATGAGATTTCAATAGCAAAAAAAAAATGTAAAGTTATACTCAAAAAAAAAAAAATAATGATGAAATTTAAGCTTAAGCTAATAGTTAGTTTTCTACTGGAACTTCTATTGTATATAATTAGAAACTGGTTTATCAAATGATAAGAAATTTTTATTGATTGTTTGATCAATATTTAAGATGGAATTATTTGAAATAATTTTTTTCTGTTATCATCATAAAATCAATGATATTTCTAAAACAAACATGCTTATCTGTCCCATAACCTTTTTCTTCCATCTGTTTTTCATGTGATTGATCATTTCTACAATTAGTACAGTATGATTGATAGGATAATAGATAAACAATTATCATCGAGTAGATCATATAAGTCAGTGTTTTTCAAACGACTCTCTAACCAGAATGGTTTTTTACGAAATCAAGATTCGACTAGTGAAGAATAACAAAAAATTTCAGTAGTGAAGATGGATTAGATGAATAAAATAAATTCATTCGATTATTTTCTATCTATGATAATTGACAATAATACACCGATTGATTACGATATACAAGAATTAATTGAATAAAAATAAGTCAAATAAAAAAAATTGTATATTAAACGGAGGTAAGCATTGGGTAATTTGTTTTTGCCTGTCCTATTCTGTTACACAGAGCACAGCATGCAATGTTCTTATTTAGATGAAAACTACTTTTCGAAAATAGCTGATGTAAAATGAATTGATCTAGCATTGTCAGATGAAAATTGAAGTTTTTCTTGTTAACTTTTTAAATATTATACAATAGATCAATTTTTATAAATGAAAATCATAATCCTATCTATCATTCTCCAATCTTCTTCTATTCGCATTTAAATATCAAAGATATTTTATTCACTATTGTTCTGTTTCATTTGGCTCGCTGTAAAATAGAAAAAAAATCGAGAGGATGAGTTTTTACATCTTATCATTGCTTGTTATTTACAATGCCAAGACAAGACAAACATTTAAGTGTCGTTCTATCCTATGCTCCGTTCTGATTTGAGACTCAAAAATAAAAAGATTAAAATTATGAAATAGTGCGACATCTTCAATTAGTCCTTTAATAAAACTTACAGAATTTGACGAATGGTTTTTCATATAAAACTTTCTTCTTTACATTGTCTTATCTACCTAATGTAAATAATATATCGTCCTTTAGATTCTGTCAATTGTCTTGTTTTAACATCTACTTGTCATTGATTACATAACAGTTGTCCATTTATTTGCAAAGATGTCTACTTCAACTGAAAAAGCCCAATTATGTATATTTAATTATTCTATTGATTTTTCTTCTTATTTTTATTTTTGCTTTTTATTTTTTCAGCAGATATTAATCGAAAAATTCGTGAAGAAATCATTTGTGATGTTCTTAATTTATATAATTCAAATCCAACAGAAGAATCATTTCGTCATTATGCTCCAAATGCACAATTTGAAGATCCATTACAATTTTCTGGAAATCTTTCATCAATTAAATCAGCTTTTAAATCATTACCAAAAATTTTTAAAGATTCTCAAGTAACTAAAATTGATTCTGATATTGATACAAATCCAATGAAGTTAAATCTTGAAACACGTTATGAATGGAAAGGAATTAATAAAGAAACAGTTATTCGTTCAATTGTATTACTTACATTAAATGAACAGGAACAAATTATTCGTCATGAAGAACGATGGAATGGAGAACCTATTCCTAATGCTGAATCGGGATTTTTTGGTAGAATTAAAGAGGTTAAATCAAATTAGAGAAAAATTAAAATATTAATTTAGATTTTTTATTATTTTAGGCATTACGCCATGCTACAGGAAGTCTTGTACATGCAATGGTTGATAGTGAAAAACCAGTGGAAAAAAATTAAATTTATTTATTTTTGGAATTTTAGTTTAATCAAGCTTTTTTTTTATATTATTAATCTAGCATTTATATCTTCAATGCAATAAAAAGATAAAATTAAAATAAATATTTATTTTACCGCTATACTTAGATGTCTATTAGAGAATACTATGCACTATATAATAGTAAAATACTATTATTAGATCAAAGAATTCGATTTATGAAAAGTCTGAAAGAATATAAGTGTGACATAAGCTTTTCAAATTCATCTATTTGGTATAGATGACAACGGATTTAGAGAGAAAAGTAGCATCTTTAATGTCTATCAACAAGTCTAGAAGTGCTATTCCTAATATTTATGTTTAGGGATTATCCATTAAGAACGCACAAGTAAAGAGGGAAGAAAGAGTCAAACATTTTTCGACGTTCAGAAACTTAATAGGAATGATGTTTGCATTTTTTTTTACACACAAATTCCAGCGATCTTTTGAAGCTTAACTCGTTTTGAAGATCAATCTTAAATGGAAAATGAACTAAATGTCAATCAGTTGAATATGAATACAGTATTAAAATAATTGAAGATTATATTATATAGACAAGCTAGTGATTTTCTGGATCATTGGTATGAGCTTTGTTAGATTTTCGAGTGCTACTAGTATTGAACTCCATTTTTTATTCTTACTATTTTCAGCTCATTAAAATCGAATGTATTTAAAAAATGAAAACTTTGTAATAGGTTAGGTTTTTCTTTGTTGTTTATCAAACATGTGTTTGTCTTTTAGTGTGACGGTTAAGTGTAGGATACACCTACACATTTGTTCTCAAAGCTTTCTTTTTATGCTGGACGTCCTTTTTCTTTTTGTCAACTTCTCTGTAATAGTTTACATTCTTAAGATGATGCATAGGTACGTTTCGACAAGTGATCATCGTTAATAAGCTCTTTCAGTATCTTTGAGTAAGTAAACTTCTTCTTCTGACTATCTCATCTGATAATTGTTATATTCAACGACATCGCTAATGAACATTCACTTTGTAAACCAATCTCTATTCGTATAGGAACAACTAATTGAATCACTATTGATAAGCTATAGCTACTATGCATAAGTAAATATTCAAATAAGAAATATGTCACAGTGATTTTTAACAAACCAAGAAAAGAAATGTGTTACGGGTGCATAAAATGAGTCAGCACTTGAATTTGTTAATAGCTGTCATTTTTTTTTAAATAGGATTATTTGTAGCGGATCATGACCATAATACATAATAAACATCTTTTATTACATGCCAAAAACATCAAAACTAAAAAAATCAAAGTTTCGAATTGAATTTAAGATCAAAAGACTATAGTTCTATATTGTTTTGCAAACTTTAGAAGATTAAAAATATATTGAGTTTAATTCTATTGATTTTTTTAACAAATGAAACTTCATAATCTATATAATTAAGACTTGTCTCTTGAAATCAGATGCAACACCAGTGTTGAAAAGAAACTCAACGTAGAAGATTTCATCGTGTGCCTTGTTATTCAAACAAATAATGGTCAATTGTACTGAATAAAAAAGAATAATAATGAAATAAAATAAAATACAAATTTTTGAATGGTTTCTCTCTCTGCACTACTAAATATAATTAAAAATTTTGAAATAATAAAAATGCCTTATTTTCAACAATAAAATATAATATTGCCTTGAAAAAAAAAATAATTTCATTCTAAACTAAAATATTCAAAAGAAATCGATTAAATAAAAAACAATGGTTTTTTTTTCGTTGTCATCTGATTATTATTACTTATACAAACACATACTAATAATATATATATATTATACTTGTTGGTTTTTTGAAACACGTAATAAAAATAATGGGTTGTGGATTATCGAACAAAACAACAGCAACAATAACAACGACAGCAACGGATAATGATGAATCTATACCAGGTATATTTTATATTTTTTCGTTCTTTAAAGATTCTATTATTTTTTATTTAATAATAGATGAATGTGCAACATTATATCAAGAAAATAAAATACGTAAGATTCTTCCAACTTATTCTGGAAATCGTTCTCATCAATCATCGGATTATGTTAATACATTTTCACCAAGAACAGTTACTAGTTCTCACTCATCTAGTTTTAATCCAATGAAATCTCTATCAAACAATAATAATACTGAATTAAATTTACGATTAATTGGTGATGTACAAAATGAACCAATAAATCTTTTAAATCCAATTTATGGATACGAACATTATTCACTTGTTTCACTTGAAGAAGCATGTAAACCTCTTTTACCATTTATTAATGATTTAAACTATTATATTAGTATTGCTAAACAAAATTCAAAGAAACCAAGTGATAATCTTACAATAGATGAATCAGCTTCTATTTATTTATATACATTAGAATGGTCAGATGCTTTATATCGAAAATTAAATTTTAATTTACGTCAATCAAAACGAGATAAACTTATTCCATGGTTTTCATATTTAAAATTATTTCTTACAGCTCTTTTTAAATTACCAAATATTGAAAGTGAAATTATTTGGAGGGGAAATGAAATTAAATTTGATGGTTATAAAACAGGTACATATCATATTTGGTGGGCATTTTCATCATGTACATTAAATCTTAAACTACTTGAATCACAAATGTATCTTGGAAAACAAAAAAATCGAACAATTTTTTCTATTCAAGTATTAAATGGAAAAAATATTCGTAATCATTCATATTTTAAGAATGATAATGAAATTCTTCTTATGCCTGGAACTTATTTTAAAGTCATTAATGAAGGAAGTTCATCATCTAATCTTCATATTATTCAACTTAAACAAATTCAACCACCTCATGTTTTATTAGAACCACCTTTTCAAATAGCTGAAGAAGAAGAAGATGAAGATGATGAAGGATTTGAAACTGAAAGGTCGATTGATTATAAAAAAAATCATATGAAGGCTCAAACAAATAGTCCAATACAATCAAGTGAAAATAAAAGTAAGCTATGCAATTTGAAACAGATATAACTTATACTACTCACATTTATTGAAAGAAAATTTTAACTTGACAAATTTTTTTTCTCTTATTAATTTAATCAATAATCACTATCAAATCTTTGTAGATTCGCCGATACAAGAAGAAAAACTTACGTTTACAAAGATTTCAAATGCATTGAATAATCGTTCTGAAATTCCAAATGGTTATGCTGGATTTAATTGGATAAATATTGATTATATTGGTAAAAATTATATTCGTCGTAATAAACCTAATTGGATGAAACTTTTCAATTTTTATGATGTTATTGCAATAACAAATCGTCATGATCATTTTCCTATGAGTATCGAACGAATTAATGGACAGACTTTCACTGTTCACAGTATTGAAGTTAGTTCTGTTGATGAAAAAGGACAACTTAGTATAAACGGCTTATTCAATGGTGAAAAAGTGTGCGAAGGAGTTCTTGATCTTGATAATCAACAAGTATTGGTTGTTGATTTGGAATGGGAAGATATTGACACTTTAGAATTCAATGCAAATATTAAAATAGCTATTCATTCCGTCATTTTTGAAAATGTTGATTTTTAAACTAAGCATTACTCACAATGTCTATTCAAAAAAATTCCGACAGATAATCTTAATGAAAGCTATACAATTGCGGCTTTTGTAAAATATTTGACATTGACTATTGTTTGATCATTGTATTATATTCATCTCAATTCAAATTATACTAGATATTGTTATATCCTTTGTAACATCTAAATGATAGTAGATATGAGTGAGTCATATATTGTTAAATGCCATTCTTGTCTTTGTCAAATGACTATAAGTCACTGTATGTTGGTGCTAGGACAATTTATTGCAAAACTGTTGGTCACATGACATAATAGTTTTAAGGCATCCCGAAGAATCATCGAGTGTGGGTATGTATGAGGGTACACAAAAGATACTCACACACATTCGCAACAAATTGCTCGGTCACCAGAGAAATAAACCCGAAACTTTGACTCTTGTAGAGTTTTTTTTTCATTTAAGTAATGTTAGCACCGGATTCACCTTCCTACCGGTGTTAAGTCTCTAGGCGGTTGTGTTATGTGCAGAATTTTATTCTCTATCGAATAGGACCATTGTTGGAGGGCGTTATCGGGCAAGAAGCGAGGGTTACATCCCGAATACGAGGCCTAAGACTCGATTTTGTCAGAAATTTTTGATTGATGATCATCTGTGAAAATGGTACCATTAGACAGGGAATGAAATTCTACATCTAACGTAGTTGATTAGAGAGTTATCACAGTTACGAGAGCGAATTCGAACAAGAATTACTCACGAAATCGAGCCTCGGATCAAGTATTTGGGGTATGAGCCTCGTGTTTTGCCCGATAACGCCCTATAAGAATGGTACCATTCGATAGAGAATAAAATTCAGCATCTAACACAACCGCCTAGAGACTCAACATAGGTTAAGAAGGCGAATCCAGACAAGAAATAGTCGAATCCGATGCTAACATTGCTTACGTCAGAGTTATCGTAATTAATATAAATATATGGGAAGATAGGTCAAGGTCTGATCTTCCATTAACAACATTATTTTTTTTAATCTGATACCTCACTTTTTGTCAAAACTTTCTGATGATTTTTGCCATCATCTACTTAAAAAATTTGGTGTTTTTCTTGGAAAAAACAGAAAATCTTTTTTATTTTTTAATCTGTTTATCGTTTTTTGATCACACATCCCAGAATCATCGAAGAACTTCATTGTAGTCAAGTGCTTTTTCTTTTGAGAGAGAGCATGTCAAAATACAAGGCATGATAGAGTCCTTTTTTTTTAAATAAGCAGTGTTACTATTATATAAAAGTGTACTTCTAAGAATACAGCCACATTTTTTGAGAATTTTTCGATACATTGAATTTTTCTTCCATGAAAAAATAAAAATTTAAAAAATAAGGATCCTGTCATGTTCTACGTTCTGACATGCTCTTTCAAACAAAAAAGATAAAGTTTATAGAATAAAGGCCTATAGAGAATTTTGAGTTGTCACATGAGCTATCGTTGACCTTGTTTGTTGAATATCCACTGAAAATTTCATACGATTTGAGTTGTACCTTATCCAAGATCGATTTTTTGAGGAGTTAAGTCTCAAAAACATATTCTGAAAAAACAAACGCTCTAGTTGATCAATATTCAAACATAAAACAATGAAGCTAAAGTATAAGACCTTATGCAAAATAAAAAAACATTAAAAAAATCAAGCAAATTACGATGAAAAATTTAATTCGACTAAAAAACACATTATTTTTTCGGATTATTTGTCACTGTGTGATAAACCTCAATTTCGTCCTACTATTTTCTTTTTTGTAGCTATTAGTCTTGATAATATTCTAGATTTGATTTTGATCAATAGATGTCACCTATTATTAGTTTGTTTATTTCCAGTTATTCTCATTGTTCACAATTGGTTTATAAATTCTTCCAGTATTATAATTTATTACGATGTTTCTTTTCCTGGTTGCTTGCTATCAGTAAAAGTCCTTCACTTATATTTTCGAGAAAGTTTTCTTATATTTAATTCTAGATAATTATTCAACAACTTTACATTGGATTATTATAATAAACTATGCATGCTCATTTTGCCCAACCACATCAGGTTTGTTTTTTTTTAAATATGACTTCGATAGTTTTTATTTTCTTTTTTTTTAAGGCAGCTGCAGCGGTAAGAATTTTTTTCTGTTCTTAAAAAAGAATATCTTTGATGATAAATAATAATATGTTTGAAAAAAAAACAGGCAGCTGTAGCGGCAGCAATGGCGGTATCGAATACATCATCAACTTCATCGACATCTGAAGCACATGCACTAACACCTGTTCATCATACAGCAACAAAAACTGAATGGATGGAAGCTATTGAACAACAACGTTTAGAAAGATCAACACTTAATCGATTGATTATTAATTATCTTGTCACTGGTAAAATTTTTCAAGAATTTATTTATATATAAATGTTGTTGTTGTTATGTGATATTAGAAGGATTTAAAGAAGCAGCAGAAAAATTTGCTGAAGAAGCTGGTATATCATTGAATAATGTCGATTTAACATCACTTGATGAACGTTTACGAATACGTGAAGCTATTGAAAGTGGAAGAATTCAAGAAGCAATCAGTTTAATTAATACAAAAGCACCTGAATTACTTGATCAAAATCGACAATTAGCATTCCATTTAAAGGTATTCGATCATAGTAGAGTACACAAGATTTTTCTTATTTATATTCGTACCAAAAAAGAAGAAAACTTATTCAGTTTAGTGAAAAAATAAACCTAGATCAGAAGTATAGAAGGATTCATCTCTATATGCTGTTCTTCTCGAGTTACAACCAATTTTGTGCCTCAGACAAAACATATATGAAAAAATTCAGTTTTAAAATTTTGTTCATGTCCCAAAAATTTCGGGTTAAAAAGAGTATTTTCTTCTTGAGATATAATAATATCAAAAAAAGACTATATGTATCATAAGGAACATTCTTTTGAACTGAAATTTTCAGGACATGATCAATGTTTTATAATTGAATTTTTTAATATATGTCTTGTCTGAGGTAGAAAATCGGTCGTAACTCGAGAAGGATAGTGTGTGAGAACGAACCTTTTTAAACTTCTTCTAGTCACATTTGCAGATCTTTCCATGGTGTTAGTACCTCGTGTTTGTATGATCAATATTTTGTATTATTCAAAGATTTTTTTATGCAATGAGAAGTTTTCTCACATAAGGTTCTTTATGAATTCAGCAGGTTTAGTCCATAAAATCTATATTAATTCGTCGATAGTTTGTATGAGATTGTCCTTGTAAAGAGGGTTATTAATAGTATCTAGAAGAAAAATGACTCAAGGTTGTCTATTATAGTAAAATATCAAGTTTCGAAAGGTGTGTGCGCACGCCTATCGGTCTATAATAATGATGACAGTTGTCAAGTGAAATATTTCTTTTCGTGTTTTGCTTTGTGATTGATCAATAAAATGATAAATAATATATATTAAAAAGAAAAGAAAAGAAGAAAATAAAGAATTGGTTATTTTAGCAACAACATTTAATTGAATTAATACGTTCAAATTTAATAGATGAAGCATTAACTTATGCTCAAATACATTTAGCTGAATTTGCAGAAGAAGAAATAAAAATGCGACAAGAATTAGAAAAAACTATGGCATTACTTGTTTTTGATAAACCATTAGAATCTCCTTATGGTTATTTAATGCAAATATCCCATCGACAACAAGTTGCTAATGAAATCAATAGTGCATTACTTATTTATCAAAATGATGAATCAGAATCAGATTTATCAATGCTTGTTCGAATGGCTACTTACATGCAAGAAAAATTAGACAATAAACAATTACGTTATCCAAAATTGGTTGATATTGCTGGTGGAAAATTAGAAGACTCATAAATAATTGTCTTTTTCTTTTTTCCTTCTTTCTTTTGTCTTGTCTTTTCTTCTTTTTCTCTTTTTTTTTTTTTGGAAATGTATAAATTCATTTGATAATTGTTTCAAAGAAACATCAGCAAAGACTTTAAAAAAAAATTTAAAGATTTTTATTAAATAAGAATAGAAGATTGAATCTCAAATAAATAAATAAAAAATGAAATTTTTAGATGGCTGTTGATTGGACAACTAAAGAAAAAATTGTTTTAATATCGGATATACTTGAATATGGTGATCAACCAGAAAGTTGGTCATCAATATCAAATGATCTTTCACGAACATTTCAAACAAATATTATTCTATCACAAACAAAAAGAGAAGGACGTTATTCGATTAAAGTTTGTTATTTTTATTTTTATTTTTATTTATAAATATTTTTATTTTATTTAAATAGAATTGTAAACAAGAATATAAACATCTTGTTAATCGTTATAAATCTCAATGGATTGAACATGGATCATCAAATAATTTAAAATTACCTTTAGCCAAATATATTTGGATACAATTAAAATCTATTTATCAAACAGAATTAACACATCAATTAAATGAAAGTAGAAAAAAATTAACTGAATTTTGTCTTAGACTTGAATCAGCAGTTAATATTAAATCTAATACAATCGAACCAACACCGCCGTATGTTTTCAAATTAAATTTTAATTTAAAAATAAAAAATAAAAAAATAATTTTTTTAGATCATCAACTACAGAGATAACAACCCCTGTTGTTAATCCTCAAGAAAATGAACCACAAGAAGAAAAAACTCCAACAATCGAAAGTATTTCTCAGGTAAAAATAATTAAAATTAAAATTTTATTAATTTTCGAAAAGATAAGACTTTTCGACAAATTAACCTTCAGCTTTAATCCTCATTATGACGAATATCTTGCACAGATACTACTTTTTGCAACCGAATCCAGATAGCTATATCCGATATCTTTCGGAACTAACCGTATCCGGCAAATACTTTCACAGTACGACTTTTATTTAATATGAAAAAGTGTATTATTTAGTTTCTTCGGAAAAAAACGAGATCATCTCAAATTCTATAAGAAAAAAGCAACTGATTCAGGATTCTCTTGATATCTTTCTGTTTCTAGAAATCGATCAATGTCATTAAGTACACGTTTGCTTGTTGCTGATGACGTTGGAATGAAATGCAGTCTTTCATTTTCTTCTCCATATATTCAGTTACTTCGTCATATGACTGATCATCATCTGTAGATGAATTAACGAATTCTTTTAGTAAAACAATATAGTACTTTCGCTTCTATCATCTGTTCTCAAGTACAATAAATTGTTAAGGTTTTCATTCCTATGCTTTTATATAAAATAGCAGTTTGAAAAAATAAAAATATTTTGAAACATCGAAATCTCATTCATTACTGGGTTGAGTCCGAGTATGAGGTCATGCCCAACACCCGGATTGAGCCGAGGAGCACTAATTATGAACGGAAACAAAACTATGAATTGTGAATAGAAATGTGTGAGATCAGAATTAAAGGTTATAGTTAAATATTCTATGATTTTAAGTGAATTATCTTATAAATCATATGAATGAGAACATAATTGAAGACGGATGACTGAAACAAGATGCTAGTCGTCTACTGCATAAATCAAAAAAACAGGTATTGAAGAATTTTTTAGATATGATAAAAATAAATTCTAGCATAGTTTCTCTAGTCCAAGGCTTGAGAACCTTAAATCACTGGGATCAATGGCAAACAGGTTATCGGAATCGGGACAAAAAATACTTGGTAACACAAATTTCTAGTTGTAAACTTACATAAAAATCGCAATGAACGTAGAATCAAAGATCTTAGTAAAACTTGATTCATTAAGTTAAATAATAATTGTGATTCATATTTATTGAATATCTTAATTGAATTTTATTATTCATTAATTAAAATGAGAAAAAAAAATCTTGATTTATTCTAGCCAATCAAAACAGAACCAGATATACCACCGAGTGAACCTATAGAATCAACTTTACCCAGTGAAGCAACTCCTGGTAAGTAGATTATTTTCCTTGTTGCTAATTGCCTTGATATAATTATTTATAGCTCCAATGATATTCGAGAATTCAAAAGAACAAACTCCTATTCCTACTCCTACAATTATTGATGAACCACAAATAAATGAAGATATACAAAATGAAATTTCTAATGAAACTATACTTAATGAAACAAATTATCAAGCATCAACTACAAATTCACCAAATCCAAAACAAAATCAACCGATTATTGAAGAAGATATTTCAGAACAAACACCAATAGAATCTCCTTCACAAAATCTTTCATCCGATCAACAACCATCCATATCTCAAACAACAATTTCTATTCCTTCTTTAATACCTTCAACAAGAGCAGAATCAATTTCATCATCAAGATCAACATCACGAACAAGTTCTGAAACAAAAACAGATGTTGTTAAAGTAAAACGAAAAAAAAAATTCTTTTTTTTTTTGTTTTTTTGTTGTTGTTAATCAAAATATATTTCTTTAAAGATAATTCCAACAACAACAACAACAACAACACAAAAATATCATGTTTATTTTTCTCCAAAAAATTCTATTAATAATAATATTGGAACAAATAAAACTAAAATAAAACGAAAAACGATTGATGAAATAAAAGATGAAAATGAAATTGAATCAACAAATCAACCAGATATATCATCATCATCAACAACAACAACAACAACAACAATAACAACAACAACAGACCAATCAAAAGTACCATCATCAACTGCTCCAATGACTCGTCGTTCAATAAATACACGTTCATTACCAAATACTGCTGCTGAACAAGAAGAAGAAAAATTAAGAAGGTTTTATTTATAATCAAAACAAAACAAAAAAATTCTTTTTTTTTTCTAATCTATTCAATTTTATCTAGATTTTCATTGATGCTTTCTGAAAATCCAAATAGTTGGGAATCACAATCAATGGCTATTATTCAATTTATTCTCGCACATAAGTATTGAAAAATAATAAACTCTCTTGTTTTTTTTCTCGCTCTTAGTAATTGAATTTATTTTTTTTTTTTTGCTAGACAAGGATATTTATTTGAACATGAAATAACCGAAGAAATTGCACCAAAATATCATCAATATGTTCGACATCCAATAGCTCTTGATACAATTCGAAAAACACTTGAATCTAATGGATATCAAACAAAAGAACATTTTAAACGTGATATTTATTTAATGTTATACAATGCTATGAAATATAATCCACGTTATCATCATGTTCATCGATCAGCTAAACATATTTTCAATACAACAGTTTCTCTTTTTAATGTAAGATTTACTTTTTAACATTTTCAATTACAGTAGAGGAATTCTACTATCGAGTAAAAAGTACATCAACTTCAATCCTTTAACCCTTTATACCCTGTTGGGTCATTTTTGACCCATTCATACAAAGTTTTGCAGAAAATACAGGAAGTATGGTATTGAAAACTCCCAAAACAATATTGTTACAGAACTCCATAAGCTATCGATTGGTAAAAAAAATATTTTGTTTCGTTACTCTATCTCCGAGATATATAGCTTTCAAAATTATCGATTTTGAAAGAATTTAAAAATAACAAAATTTTAAAAACAAAACGGTTTTTCACTCACACGCAATAAAGATTTCGAGGCTGCGTTGTGTCGTATATATCGATAAAAGTGTCTACTATTTAACTAAATGCGTTTCAAAAATTTCACAATGGCTTGGCAGATACGAAATGGTAAGATACCAGATGGATCCTGAAACGACTATTGAACAGAAAGAGAGAGATAGCGGATACCATGAATATATTATTTGTAAATCTTATCAGAGTAGCAATCGAAAAAAATATATATCATCGATTAAATGTCTTCATTGATGATATAATTACTTAAAGAAAAATATGTATTTTTAAAAAATCTCTGTCAAAAATACATATGGTGTTTAAAAATCGCTTTTTATATTCGTAGTTTTTCGTTTTGGATTTGAGTCTAATAGAAAGGAATAGAAGACACATTGGCCTAATTAACACCGTCATAAACAAGAAAAGAAGTAGGGCTTTTAAAGTTGTTCCATTCCCTTCTCTATCTCAATGGTCACTGTCGTAATCAAATTCCCCTGCACAAAAGGTAGTGCGTCTGATCGATCTGCCTATACCATTGGTATATTGGGGAGACCAATACTCTATTTTTATGGTAATTTTATCAGTGGCTCTTCTGGAACCGCTTCAGGGTATAAAGGGTTAACTTACGATTTTGACTCGAAATAGAAACTACTATTAGGGATGTAACGGTGACCATAATCGTAGGCACGGCTATTAGTTTGAACTGGTGACGGTATATCCGTGAATGATCGCCACCTTTGCGTCCCTAACCATGATCGCAGGCAGCAACACAAGATCGATAGACCTTATTGCAAAGAATTTACGATGAAAATACTAGTTTTTTTTCGTAGAACCTAAGCAAAGCTTTTTTTTGAAACTTTTCTGGTTTTCCATTATTACTTGAATTTTCTTATAAGATTCGCAATGTCTATATTGTGTTACAGATAGGGTACTTCAATTTGCTGTAATCTTGAGATGCGGGGAAGCCTTTATTGTCTGAGAGGATCTCAGTGTGGATCTCTTCGCCATCGATGGCTACAATCATAAAATTTTGAGAGAGAACTTAATTAAAATAAGAAATTCACTGATGAAAATTTCCAGACAAATCATTAAAATTAGCCGGAGATATAGATCATTTTTCGACGATTTTCGTTAACTCTCATGTGAGGATTACCTAAACAATACTTCATAATTCGAGCAAATTAAAACCGTTTGACATGGGGTTTTTTTTTATTGCTGCTGGATAACGGCAGCACTGAGTTGTCGAATAAGGGATCTAACGTTATGAGATTTGTTATCTATGTCTTGCGATTAGAGTTCAACATGTTCTATTTATGATCAAACTATGAAACTAAATGATTAAAGTTTATATAGTTTTTTTTCGACTGATGTATTTATTTGTTTTGTCTTTATGTTAGTTATCAGCACAAGAAATTCATGGACAAATAACAACAAAAAGTAATTTATCATTACCGACTACTACGAATGATATTCCACTTGCTAAACGGAAACGAACGAAAGTATGTTTTAATTAATAGAAAATTTTATTTTAATTTTTTAATTATTTGTATGTGTTTTGTTTTTTCTTTTTTTAGTGATGAATTATATTTATCATATGAATTTGATTAGATAACAAATAAAATAATGTCTTAGTCGCTAAGAAATTTATTTTCTATTTAGAATGATTAAAATAAATCATTGAAATATATCGAAATATTATCTTTTAAAAGACTTTGCTATTTTAATTTTGTTCTCATAATAGAATTTTGTTGTTGTTGTTGTTGTGTTTCATTTGTTGAATCATTATTCAAAAATTTTTGTCGCTCAACAGAGAATTTTTTTTTGTTTTGGAAGAAAATAATCTTTTCAGTAGGTATTATCTATTCTTGATAAATCTTTATTCTTCGATTATCTCTTTCGATTGTTTTGAGTTATGCTATTTGAAACTATAAATGATTTTTTTAAAGGAGGAATTATTTTGATAAAATGTCGATTGTCACAAAATTTAATTTTGACCAAAATGATAGGAACATTTTAATTGAATAGTTCTATTCATTGAATCCAATTAATATCGAAAGGAAAGATTTAATTAATCAAAAAAAACAACTGTGTTAGAGAACTTATTTTGATCGGCTGATTTTTCCAAATTGATTGTCGGTAAGATGTGAAACATGCCTTCGATATAAATGATGCTGATTCTTGTATAGTTAATATCAAACTTTCGGGGTAATATCACTTATATTCAGATCCTGATCCTTAGTTAAAATCATTGTTGAGATGTAACATCATCAATTGCTTAATGAACGACAGGATGATTATCAATAAAGTTTGAATTGATACAATAAATAACTTTAAAAAAATCAAAATGCAAACTTTAGTTGGAAGCCACTTCGAGATAAGAATTATTTCAAGAAAACCAGATGATATTATCTCAATATTGGTCAATTGAAAGAAACATCAAACTATGATTGTTTTTAACAGGCATTTTGTTATATATGTGTGATCAGGCATTGAAACAGTATCATCTTTTGTTATTTACATCCTACTTTTGTAGTATGCAAAATGGTATTCATTATGATTTAATTAAATTTTAACGCCTCTCTCGTCAAATATCGATTTCGTGCGGTACATTCAAATCGCCTGAAATTTCGAGGATATATTGAAACTGTAGTGAAGAGGCTATAGTAAAATTTTTAACTCTATACCTTGACGTTTGACAGAGATATTCACCAAACAATGGTTCAAAATAGGTCATTTGGTAAACTACATTTTCTCTGCTAGGCTCATTCTATATATTTAATTGCCTTCTGCTTGAAATAGTATGTCAGGGTCCAGGACAGTACAGAGTCTTTTTTTTCAAATTCTTACTTTTTAAGCAGAGAAAGAGATCACAAGTCGAATGACTCAAAAAATGAATGTCTATTTATAAGTGTTTGTGTATATAATAAAAACATAGCTTAATTTAAAAAAGGGCTCTGGAATGCACTGGATTCTGACATGCTCTTTCAAAACAAAAGAAATTAAAATGCATAGAATGACGTTCACAGAGAAATCTGGGATATGCGATCAAAAAGCATAAGCAAACAAAAAATATTTTCAATTCCAATAAAAAAGCTGCTATTTTTTAAGCATAAGACGGAGGAAGTCATCGAAAATTTTGATGCCAAATAAAAAATTTTATTGTTTCTGAATAAAAACAGAGCACGGAGTATCTTTCCATGCATTTATCTTTATTTTTATTTTTTTTAACAAAATTAGACTTTTTTTGAGGAGGAAGGCCTTGAATCTTTTCATAATATTGAAGATGATTCGACAATTTTCAATAGTGACAATGAAATCCAAAAAATCATCGATCGTTCTAATAATAAAAGAATTGATTGAATATTTTCTTATCACGTTCATCCGATATTTTCGTTTTATTATTTTCATGATCACGTCCCCAAATATAATATATATGTATCTCGTAAAACAGAAGTATTACACAACAATACCAAAACACAGAAGAACTGTTTTGGTGGGAGAAAAAAAAATACATAGATATCGTCACCTATAGTCTAATGAAATGAAATACAAAAAGAAAAGAAAAATGTACTGAATAGAAAAGAAAAAAAAACAAAAACAAAGAGTAAATATTCATTGTTCAAGCCTATATAGCATTTCAAGAAATAAACACACACACACAAATAAGATAATATAAAATGTATTATTTACATAGGAATTCTTAAAGATAATATCGATGATAATTATTTGTTGTTGTTAGTCGTGTTGGTGTCGATGAAAGTGATGAAAAACCTGATAAATGTTGTCGACGAGCTGTAGGTGGTGTTGAAAAACCTAATGTTTGATAATTATTATTATTTATTACACGATGAGATCGATCACTTGAACTAGTTGTTTTCCTAGAAAAAAAACAATTTTTTTTTTTAAATTATTTCCAAATACAAAAACAAAGATTTCGTTTTTCTTACCAATTTGAACTAGTTAATGAATGTTCCTTTGATGAACTAGATGTTTTTTGTTTTGGTTTAGCAAAATTTACCTAAATTAAATCATTTAAATTAATAATTCTTTCTTCTTTTTTTTTTTTTTTTGCTTACAACTAATCGTCGTCCATCGACAATTTCTCTATCCATACGTCGTTTAGCTTCAAGTGCATCTTTTTTTGCAAGAAATGTTACAAAACCAAAACCCTTTATACAAAAATAACAAAGAAACAAAGAAAAATTTCAAATAACTAATAAAATTAATTTTAAATTTACTTTTGAACCACGTTCATTATAAACAACTTCAACATCAAATGTTGTTCCATATTTCTATATTAAGAAATAAGAAAAATACAACAATAAGTAATTATTTTAAATAAAAAAATGAATACAAACTCCAAAAACTTCAGCTAATTTTTCTTTCGACCATGTAAATGGAATATTTGATACATGTAAACGTAATGTTCCATCATCGTCATCAAATACATTTAATGATGATGATGGAGTATTCTAAAATAGAACAATATATTTATTAAAAACAAAACAAAAAAAGATTTTTTTTTTAAATCTTTACAGTTCGAGCAGGTGATGGTCGTTGAATTGGTGTTATCGTTTGTTTTTCATCTTTATTTAAATGAGAACGTATTCGATTTTGTAATTTTTCAGACCAATTTTCTGTTTTATTTCCACAATGACAACATTTCTAAAAAGAAAAAAAAGATTTTTTTTTCTTATTATTACAAAAAAAAAAATTTACACATAGTTGATGTTGTGATGAAGAAATATTTGATGACCATAATGATGGTTCAAGATCAATATTAGCAAATGTAGATGAAAGTGACCATCCAATTGGTGCTAATGGTAAAACTGGTGAATCAGAATCTGTTGAACGAGTTGGTGTTGGTGAAAATAATCTTTGTACTGGCGATTGAGAACATAATGATTGAGATGATGGCCACAAATCACCATCCTAAAATTATTTTATTTTATTTAATAATAATAAAAAAAATAAAATTTCTACATTAAAGCTCGAACAGTAGCGCGAAATATCGATGAGCGTTGTTGATGAAATATTTTCTTCCATTATAGATTCGATTTGCCCAAACACAAATAACGTTTATTTTATCGTCGTTTTGTGTCACTACAACTTCGACGATGATGGAAAATGATTATACACATATTTACATTTCGTCCGACGTGAACGTTAACCAGATGAATAATGCACTCATCAAAGAAACGGACAAAAACAAAATATCTAGGGATCAACAGTTAACTTCATATAGATAAAACAAGTCTAACAGAATAAAAATCATCTTTTTTTTTCTTTTTACAATATTCTTATTTATAGATTTACTTAAATGATTAACAATTAACATATTGAAATTTATTTATTAAAGAGATCGTTTTTAATAAAAATTTACAACACAAAATTTCGTTTACCTATTTTCATTGATGTTGACCAATAAGTTTATTGTAGTTCTACTGTGTCCTTCTTTTTTTTATATTGATAAAATTTAGAATTTATGTTAAGATGTTGTTTGTTTAATTTTAAAAAGAAATTATTTGAAAAAAAAAATATCGGTCTTGAAATACGAATTTTTAATTTAATTTAATTATCTTATGACTTCTATCAAATGAGTTTATAATGGATGATCGGAAGGTTTTTCGACAAGATGGTTGTTCACTTTTGACGTACTAGAAAGTATTTCCAACGAGTCAAAAGATATAAATGTGCTATTTCAAGGTTTTTTCCCTTTTGACAAGGAACCACAACTTTAATTTTTTTCGTAGAGACTCATTTTTGATAAATCAACAACCGTTTTACATTGAAACGAACTCTCTCAAAAAAATGCTTCTAGCCTCACTTGAGTAAAAGCTATAGCCTAGTTCAATATCACATTCTGCAGAGAAATGTTTGCTCTACAAAACAACCAACTCCGACAAATTTTCTCATGCTTGAAAAAGGACTTATAGAGCTAACAAAAATCTGTTGGCTCACCATTATAAATGGTTTTTCAGGTCTTTCAAAAAGTCCATTACTACTCTTCAACAAAAACTCCGACAAAATTTGTAAGTCATTATTAGAAAAGAGCACAAAATTCTGATCCTTACTCATCAGAAATATTTTCTCGTGGATCAAAAGTGAACAAATATCTTGTATAAAAACTTTCTAGCCGTCCATTATTTATAGATATTTCAATAAATAAACAGGAAATTATATTAAGATCCCCTAAAAAAAAAGTCACTTTTTGTCAGAGTGATCGACATTAAGGTAAATGCATGAGAAGATAGTCCGTGATATGATCTCTCATAAAAGATTAAAAATTTTAAAGATTTCCGTCATACTCTATTCGAAAAATATGCTGTTTTTGGAAAGAATCAAAAATATTTTTCGCTTTTTCTCGTTTTATAGGTTTTCGATCGTATCTTCAAGAATTCTCGAAGAAGCTTCATTATAACCAATAACTTTTTTTCTTTGTTTGAAAACTCGCGTTTAGGGCTAGCGACTTTTGTGGTCATTTTTTTAAAATAAGGTTTTTATTATCATATAAGAAAATAGCTCTATAGAAACAGCGCCAGTTTTTAGGAGTGAACTTGTTATTTGTTCTGTCCGCTTGAAAAGTAAGAATTTAAAAACAAAGATTCTGTGGTATCCTGCATCCTGACATACTCTTACAAACAAAAAGAAAATTAAAGATATAGAATGAGCCTGGACGGAGAAATTTGATTTGCCAAATGTGCTATTTTTGATCCTTGTTTGGTGAATATCTCTGTTAAACGTCATGATATAGGACTGCTAAGTTTATTATATGTGTAACCATCCACTCCTAGTATATGAAAAAAGTTTCAGCTTAATAGCGCGTTCTGACTTGAAGATCCTATTTTGAGGGGGAGGATCTTAACTCATAGAAGCTTCTTCTCTATGTTCATAATGATGAATTATATGGAATCATTCGAAACAATATTTTATTTAATCATAAAACTTTGGATGTATGTTGGTCAAGATTTACACAAATAAAATGCCAATTAAAAAAATCTTTATAGTATAAAAAGAAATTTTTTTTTGTTTTGAATTAGCTATATAATGTAATTGTTAATAGATGTATTGTATATATCTTGTGAAAATATTGATGAATGAATGAGACGTAATGTCATTGACAACAACTGAAAGGAATTTGATTAGCAACCTCAATAAACATTAATGCCATAAAATTTCTTCTGTTCTCTTTCTTTTTTTTCTTTGTTTCTCTTTCTTTTTTTTTGCTACTTTTATTATAAACGAAGTAGATGTGAAAGAGAAATTTTAAATGGCAACAGCAACACCTCCAACAGCCACTGGTATAGCACGTGGTAGTAGTCTTCATTCAAGTTTGGGAACTGTTGCTCCATTAAATACACCAACACGACGTTTTTATGGTTCACAAGATCAAGTTGGAGTTCAACCACTAGGTGTACCTAATCCGAATATATATGTTGTACAACCATTTAAAAATGCATCAATACCTAAAGATTATGTTTATGCTAAAAAAGTAAACAAATATCTTAGTATTTTGTTAAAATAAAATCTTTAATTAAATATTTAGAATGCACCTAATCCTGGTGAAAATTTACTCAATTCAACAATAGATCTTATTAATCATTTTACATCTTGTTATGAAGCAGTTAAACATCAATTACAAGATGAACATATAAAAGAAAGAGAAATTTTATTAAATAGTAGATCAATGACTGTAACTGGAACCAATAATACTGTTAGTAGAAATGCTTTACATCGACCAGCTAAACAAGCTAGGTTAAGTTATTATTTCAAATAAAAATAGAAAATTAATAAAATAATATTTTCACTTTTACAATTAGACTTCGACCATTAATTCAACATCAAACTCAACAAACTCGTGAAGGTGATCAAGAACCATCTATTGAAAATTGTATTGGAATTTCACCAAGTAATTTATCAAAAAAAAAACAGAAAAGATTAAAATTGTATTAATTTTATTGTATTAGTACCAGTAACAAAAGCTGATGATCTCGTTAAAGTTTATGATGAAAAACTTCGTTTATTACGTAAATTAAAACCTGAATTTTTCGATAGTCAAGGTAATCTTATATCTCGTAATCCTCAAAGAGCCTATTCATATAGTCAAGCTTCAATACCATCTTCTAAAAAGTACAAAAACAAAACATTTTTTTTTTTATTTTTAAAATAAATAAAAAATAATTTATCATTTCTATATCAATAGATCAACTGTATCATCTTTTCGAACTCCATATAATACACTTCTAACAGCTGAAAGTAAATATTATTTATATGATTCGTAGATAGAAAAATACCTTGAAATAAATTTAGATATTCCATTTGATGATCGTCGAACATTTTTAACTGAATTTGCAAACGAAGAAGAAGATAATGATAAGAATAATGAAGATGAACAAAAACTTACACCTGTAATGTCAACTCAACAAACAAATTCATTAAATGAAATTATGAAAAATAATTATGTTCTTAAAGTTCTTGAAATAAAAACAATGTCAAGTGCAACATCAAAACGTGATCGAACGAAATCAGCATCTGATAAAGGAAGTTATTATCCATATAAAGGAAATGCGACAGCTAAAACGACATAAAATTTACTGAAAAAGAAAACCTATGATCATCTTTTACATTTTTTTACTATTTTTATTTTACTAATAAAGTTTTTGTTTGAAAATAAATCAAATAATATAATTTACTTTCTCATCAAATTTATTAGGTTTTATTCTTTAAATGACTAAATATAATTCTTTTTTCTTCTTGTTGAAATTTTAGTATTTCGAAAATGTTTACATTTATAATAACTATTCTACCAGTTTATATAAGATTGATTTAACATCTTTATACTGATGTGGGTGAAGTTAGCCAAAGATTCGAGTAAAACCAGCCAGGGTTCGTCCAGGAACTGTTCCAATCAGTGTTTCAAGTGCAACTCGACCAGCTCTATATACTGGTACAATCAGATTTTCCATAGCCCAAACTATCGTTGAGAAAAACTTCAAATAATACATTTTTCTGCTGACATTCGAGCCAAAGATTTGTGTAAAACCAGCTAACATTCGTCCAGGAACTGTTCCAACCAGTGTTTCAAATACGACTCGATGAGCTCTACCTCATGGTATGTTCAGATCTTTTTATAGCTCAAACCATGGTTTTCAGGTTTTCATAGCGCCATCTATGGCCCCAAAAATCATACTTTGAACTATGAAAAATCTGAACATATTGTTGGATAGAGCTCGTCGAGTTGTACTTGAAACACTAGTTGGAACAGTTCCTGGACGAATGTTAGCCGGTTTTACTCTAATCTTTGGCTAACTTCACCTACGTGATCGGAGTCAAGTAAATTTCCTTTTACCAAGGAATATTTGAAGGTGATAATAAACGATTTTATTTCTTTTTCTATTTGATTAAACACTCATTTAATATAACTTTTTCCAGATTTTATTTGTTGTAATTCTTCCAAAAGTTTTGATTCATATGATTTATATATTAAGAATGGTGGAAACAGAGCCAGAAATGGATCCAGTTGAATCTGATATCAATATTATAGAGGATTTCATGAAAAAACATCATGGAAATTTCTTATATTTTTTAAAAGGATGTGGGTGGGTATGAGTGTACGTGTACGTGTGGGTATTGGGATACCTATGAATTAAATAGACACCTACACCTACCCAACAACAAAAAATGATCATTCTGATGCTTTTCGTGATTTTATAAAGAGTTGCGAAAGTATATTAGCCAGAAACGATACATTACAGCCTTACAATTCTCAAATTTTAACTCAAAATGAAAACGTTTTGGAAGAAAACAAGTTAATAACGAAGCAATATGAAACAATTTTGGAAAAGTTATCAAAAACACAAGATTCTCTTCATGATCTACACGAAACAATAAAAGCTAATCAAGAACATTTATCAAAAACACAAAATGCTATTCATGATCTATATGGAAAAACAACAACTAATCAAACAATTATATTAAAATTTTTGGGTACTCAAGAAAGTTAACAAAATTATTATTAGACTTTTTTAAATATTGTTACTGGTTTAGAATAAAACAAATAAGAAAGATATATTTTATTGGTTGCTATTACTCTGACTATTGCTTCAATTTTCGGCATAAAAATTATAAATGACAATAATCTTACATCGGCGTATGAAAAAAACGTAGCTTTTGTTCTTTGTTATATCAAATGGTGAAAATATTTATATTATCTAATGTTATTCTGATATCATGTACTTCATGAGGTCTCTATAATGTTTGCTGAGGTAAATAAAGAGATAAAAGATCTCATGTGTTACTGACAACCCAAACCCCTTTTTACTGTTCTGTGCATGTCTTCTCAGATATATATATATGTGGTTACTATTGATAAAATCTTCAAACATTCTTCACATGATGTACGACTACATTGTCTTGATCGGCATTCTTAGTACTTGTTTTTCATTTACTAATTCAGCCAGTATTCCAACTCAACCTTATAAGATCACGAATGTTGTGACGAGAAGTTGGGACGAAGCTATTGCTCTCGCCAAAGGATTTGCTGCACAAATGACTTTAGAAGAAAAATGTAATATGACTGCAGGTGTTGGAGGTCATTGTGCTGGTTTTGTTTCACCTGTTCCACATCTTAATTTCGGTGGTCTTTGTTTTCAAGATTCGCCATCGGGTGTTGGTGATGGTGTTCAATTTTCAACGGCTTTTGTTGCTGGTATTCACATTGCTGCCACTTGGGATCGTGATCTCTTTTATCAACGTGCTGCTGCCATTGGTCAAGAATTTCGAGGAAAAGGAGTTCATTTTGCTCTAGGACCTATGATGAATATTGATCGAAATGCTCTTCATGGTCGTAACTGGGAAGGATTTGGTGCTGATCCATATCTTTCTGGTGAAAATTCGTATTATTATGTAAAAGGACTTCAAGATCAAGGTGTAGTAGCAACTGCAAAACATTATATTTGTAATGAACAAGAATCTAATCGTACTTATCATCCAAAAACTGGTCCAAGTCAAGGTTATTCAGCTAATCTTGATGATAAAACAATGCATGAAATTTATTTATGGCCATTTGCTGCTAGTGTTGCGGCAGGGGCTGGTTCCGTGATGTGCTCATACAATCAAGTCAATGGAACACAAGCATGTCAAAATAATAAAATCTTAAATGAACTTTTGAAAGATGAACTTCAGTTTCAAGGTAATGTTATGTCTGATTGGGGAGCAACGAAAGTCGGAGTAGAATCTGCTTTGGGTGGATTGGATATTGAAATGCCGGGTCTAGATGGATTAATGGGTTATGCTCTTCTTCCAGCAGTAAAAAATGGATCAATTACAGAAGCAAGAATAAATGATATGATAATTCGTATTTTAGCACCTTATTTTTTGCTTGGACAAGATCAAGATTATCCATCTCTCAATTTAAATAATGATGCGACTAGAGATCATTATTTGCTTAATCGACATATTGGCACTGCTGGCATCATTTTACTTAAAAATATAGATAATACTTTGCCATTTAATATGAATACAGAAAAATTTTATTCTATTTATGGATCAGCAGCAAGTCGTTATAATGATGGTGTTGATCCACATGGACTAGATGGATTAGATGGTGCTCTCTATCAAGGTGGTGGTTCAGGTTATGTCCGTCCAACTTATTTCATTGATCCTCTCACTGCACTTCTCACTAAAGCTCGTGATTTCCATTTACAAATTCAATATGTTGTTGATCAAGATGATTATGTTGCTATTAATCATTCATTGGAGAATAGTGGATTTTTAGGAGGAAAATGTCTTGTTTTTATTAATGCTTGGTCATCAGAAGGACGTGATAGACATAATCTTTTTGCTTATCATAATGGTGACAAATTAGTTAATACTGTTGCTGCTCGTTGTGCTTCAACTATTGTTATTGTTAATAGTGTTTCACAACTTAATCTCGAAGCATGGATCGAAAATTCGAATGTCACTGCTGTTGTTTGGTCAGGGTTACCAGGTCCTGAATATGGATCAGCTATTGTTGATATTCTCTTTGGTAACTACAATCCAGGAGGTAAACTAGTCTTTACAATAGCTAAGAATGATTCTGATTATGGTACTAATATTACTGAAACGTATAACTCTAATTATACAGAAGGTGTCTTCTTGGACTATCGACATTTTGATAAAAATAATATTATACCAAGATATTATTTCGGTTATGGTCTCTCCTATACAACATTCTCTTTTTCGACATTGATGATTTCAAAAGTTGGTCAAGAAAATCATATTGGTCAATCATTATATAGACAACGTCGTGTATCTTCCTATAGTAATAAAGCTTTATTAAGATTCTATGAACCTGTTTATAGCATAACTTTTACTATTACTAATACTGGTAATATCGATGGGTCTGAAGTGCCACAACTCTATCTTGGTTTTCCAGAAGAAGCAGCTGAACCACCTAAAATCTTACGCGGTTTTGAACGAGTTTATTTGGAAGCAGGTGAATCAAAGACAGTGACTCTCGTATTAACAGAACGAGATATTTCCTATTGGAATACTGTCAATCAAAAATGGATTATTGCTTCTGGAAAATATACAGTTTGGATTGCAACATCAGCTAATAATGCTGACATTAAACTTGAAGGTTTTTTCAATATCTAACTAGCTATTAGATGAATAAATCTATTCCATTTCTAAAAAATCTAATGTTGTAAAATTACCTTATTAAAATAGCTGCTTTTTTTGTAAAGATATTTAACAATGACCATTTCAGGTCAGATCAAAAATGGTTTCGACCGAACTTGGTAGGAATAACTTATAAAGAAAGCAATACATGACAGTTATTAATCGATATTTTCGTGTGAATTTGTATTTTCTAAATTATTATTTCTTCAAATAGAGAAAAGATTGAGATGTGATTTAATTGTTTTTCAAAAGATCGTCTGCTATGCAATGACATTAATAACACTGACTTAAAAACGATAATAATATTTTCATTCAGCTAATTATTTGAGTAACAATGACTAATCGTCACTTTTCTATACTGATTGATGTAAATGATATCCATAGGAAACAATTTTTTACAAAGTGTATGTCAAATAATTGTCCCAATTTCTGTCTGTTTCTCTGCATGGAACTGGAAATTTTTGATTATAAAGAGTATTAGTATTTATTCAGATACCTCCTGGCGATTTCGCGACCTTACCGACACAAAGCAAACCATCATACCAACAGCATGTATCTATTAGAAAAATATTAAACCTTCTTTTTCTATCTTCGTATACATATATATTTTTACTGGATTTCAAGGCTGTTCCGTATGGAGAAGTAATTCACACAGCATAAAGTATTCAGCGAGAAAAAAACGATAATGAATACATGAGAAATATTGAGAGTTTATCAATGAAAGATTTCTAATCACAAACATAAAAGAAAACAACAAACAAAGACCGATAAAACAATCAAAATTGAAGCTAAAAAAACATGGACATATTATTGACTAAATAATTGTATCTGACGATGATGCAAATAAACAACAATATCCTTTAAAGAATGGTGAAGCCAGGGACAAAGCAGATGGTTAATAAATTTTTGTTCAGAACATTTTTGTTTTTTAAAGTTTAATGTTTAATTTTCTCTATAAGAATAAACAGAGTACAGTCAAATACTTTAGTCTTTAAACAAGAAAATGATAACATCATTGTTTGAATCACGCAAAAAAAAAGACACAATCAAATCTCAAAAATGAAACATGCATTATTAATTGAGGATAATATTTATTAGTAAGAGAGCAAAGATGAATCAGTATGGTATGTCTCTTTTATTAAAATAATAAAATGTTCAACATATCTTATCTTAAAGATTAGTCACCGTTTGGAAACTAAATAAAAAAAAGTTGCATTTCTCACTATTTCGAATTAAATCTAATCTTATTTACAATTGAAATTCAACATTATCTATATTTGATTTTGCACAATTAATGTTCTAGCAATTTCAGTATTGCACGCATTGAACAAAAAGATCGTCGGAAGTCAAATGATATCATCTGTCATTATAACATTAAAAATACATCATTCGGATCCCTTTCAAATGAATCTATTGAACAAATTGAAAATAGTCAGATTTATATACCGTTAAATTTCACGTCAAATATCACAAATGATACGATCGTTTCACTTCGAGTTTGTTTTTATTAAACTAATTTATACTGCTTTCATTCTTTGTTTATAGTCAATAATTCAATCACTTGCATGAGCTGATAAATTTCGATTGAATATAAATCTTTCAAGATCAGTTTCAGTTTCCATTCTTAATGAAAATAACAATGAACTTCCTATTCAAACAGATTCAAATCATCCAATTGAATTAATTATTCCTCGAGATCCTAATCTAATTATCCCACCGATGTTTCTACAAGATGTTATTTCGCCTAATGATATTCAACATGATTAGTTATTTTATCTTAAATTCATCAATATCACAAGTATTCTTCCTATCTCAGTACACTTTAAAACACATCCTTTAAACAAAAGTCGTGCTTATTTATTCACTTACAAACTTGATCAATTACCGATATTAAACAGTGTAATGAATGTTATTGATGGATGGTCTTTATTTTGTCCTTCAAATTTGAAAGATGATAGTCTGTATACATATTTCATTGATAATCAACGTACAATTAATCATCAATTGGTAATCTTTGGATTACGAGAATTAAATTCTACAGAAACGAAATACATTTGTTCTAATCAACCGATTACTGATCCACCAATTATAGATAAAAGATTTGATTTTACATCAAATTATAAAATTCTTATTTATACATCAGGTTGTTATTATTTAGACGCAAATAACCATTGGCAATCAAATGGATTAGTAGTAAGTTTACTGTTCGAGAAGAAAATTTATGATCATGATTAAATTAGGTTGGACCTTTGACAAATCATTATCAAACACAATGTTATTCAAATCAATTGAAATAACTAAATATTTTCAATATTATCTTGTTTGATTAATGCAAATCTGATAAAAAAAACATTGAAGTTCATTATTTAACCTACTTGATAACGGACAATATTCTCTTCAGTAGAACATAGACTGTCGTATATTTGATTATAAAAACACGTATAAAACATTGAAAAATTCAACGAAATAATCTTTTAATTGAGTAAATAACATAATAAATCTTCTATATTGAATTATATCATTATGTAATCCAACATACATGAAGTATTTTCATCTTCAGAGTATAAAAAGCAAATTTTGTCCAAAATAAATCGGTTCACCTTAAAAGGATCAGATGAAAATAAATTGCTGCTATCAAAACTCTGAAATGGCCTATCACTCGACAATCTAGTTTGTATGATTTGTTACAGTTATGAGACAAATCATGCTATCTGTAATACTTGATTAAATGAATCTGAAAATTCAATTTCTTCATATGGATAACAAATAATTTCTAACCAATCATATTAGAAAGACTCAATAATGAATAATCGGGATTCAGCAAATTCAAAAAGGAAGTTTAGAGTTTACGTGTGAAACTCACTCTTGAGCACCTGCTTTCGTTGCTAACTATTTTGATGAGAAATATGTTAATTTTCACCGATTCTCAATTATTTTCTCATTGTTTGATAGGTGTTTTCCTTCGCTTACGTGATCTGAAAGTAGAAAGCTAGCGACCAAACAGTCAGTTACTAATGAAATCGATGGATTGCCTGGAAATTTTTCTGTCAAATCTATGACAGTCTGTCTTATAGCTTTATTTTGTTTGTTGGTAGAATCAGACATTAGATGCATGGCAAAGATACGGTCAAAACGTTTCGTCTTTTTCTTAAATCATATTACTAAGATGTCAGTGTTTCAATTTTCAAATATAAAACCTGAAGAAAGAAAGGAATTCGACAACTATTTTTATACAGTCTTGAAACTGTTTGCAATAAGTAGGGATCAAAACTTTAGCTTAAGCTCTAAAACAACTGTAAATCATTGTTCGAAGTATATGAGGATATAAAATTGTGTATGTCACAATAAGTTCAACCGTATATTCTTTCAAACTAGATTAATATGACTGAATTCTATTGTTTATGCATATGGTGGCTATAGCTTATTTGTTTGCTGCTTTTGTTTACATAGCCTATTATACAAAGGCAACCATTGATCCAATTACCCAATCAATCAAAACAGATTAATATATATACATGGCTTGGCGCATTGAGCATAATATCATAACTTTCAAAATACATGCGCACTGATTAATCTGATAGTTCAACAATATTGGAAAAGCAGCTGATATGTCGTCAACAAACTATCATCTTAATTTAACTTTTCAGGTAGAATTTGTACATTCATCAAAACGTTTTTTTCTACATCATTTTTCATTTATTAATAAGCATTAGGGATAGTTCTATCGATATATCAGGATTGACACATCTTTCTTGGAAATTTCCAAAATATTTATCTTTTTCCGACCAAATGTTAAAAACTATTCTACGTAATATACTGTAATTAGCAGTAATAATCAGTAATGCTCTTCATACTCCGATAAACTCGTATGTATGAAAAAGAATGAGAGATTACTGTCATTTAAAACAAGATATAACACTAAGATTATTTCTATATTACGATAAAATATTATCATACTCCGTTAGAACTGCAAGCTTTGTACATTATACTGTCTAAATTCAATTTAAATGAGTACTAGAAAATAGACATTCTAGCTGAATTTCGTCTTCTTGTGTAAGTCAGGTTATAGGAATCAAGATTGGTGGTTGACTACTTCGAATCAATAAAAGCTGTGAAATAAAAAATAATTTTGTATATCATTTATTAAAAAGATTTCGATAGTAATGTTAAGTAGCGCCATCTATATTCCAGGTAGACTTTTGGCACATATTTTAGCTATAATTGTGCAGATTAATTTTTTCGTCTGTAAATATCAAAAGGTTTTTTTACGATTCCAAATTTCCAGAGAGGGGATAAACAGTGCATCTTGATATTCTTCTATGTTCTTCTGTCCACGTTTTATTTTGTGTGATCATACACTATGTAAGTTTTTGAACATTTGTATAAATTCTTTTTATTTTACAGATGAGTATGAATTTCTTGTGTTGCTCCTGCAATGATAAAACCGAAGCGAACAATAATCAAGTAAAAACCAATCCGACTGTAATAACAACTGAACCATTACAAATAGTTCAACTGGTACCAAAGGTGAGAATTTACCGTTCAGACTGCCATTTATTTCATACTGTTTGTGTTTATTAATAGTTCTTGAATCATTCTCTATCAACGTCAACATCTAGTACAAAGGTATGGACTTACTTTTTTTTTAATGCAATCTCCTCTTTTTGGTTAATTTTTAGGTTGGCGTTGCACCAGATTCTGAATTGAATTCACCTGCACGATCGATTGAGGTGTCTTTTGAAACTGAAAGTGAAACTGAAGCTGAGTCGGAAAATAATGATATTGTCTTTATCAGATCCATTACTCGTTCTGCATTTGCTGATATGAGATCTATTCCTATGTCAGCCGTTTAAATTTTATTATGCACTGTACAACAAGTTTCAATCATCGTCATGAAATATTTATTCTTAATGTCAATTTCTCTTGAAAAAAAATAATATTAAAAAATTAACTTTACTCAAAGATATAAAATATGACAAAACGGATGAGGTGAACTATTCTTGATCGAACGAACAAAATTTACCATTGTTATTATGTCTATCTCATGTCTTTATTTGGTATCATTTTGATTTTCTTAATAACGCTATACATAATTCCTGAAAATTGATCGATGAGGTTATTCTCGATCGTAGTACAAAATTTACTATTCTTGTTGTATTTGATTGATATAATTATTTTCTACCATCTAGTCTTTCTTATATATGTATATTTTTTTTCTTGTACTGAATTGAAATAAAATTTACGTTCTATTGAATGTTGTCAATAGAACGTTATTGTGAGATGGAAAAGTAAAATAATTTTGCTTCAAAAATATTATGAAATGAATAAAATTGGCAGTAAGATATATCAAAAAGGAAATAATAGATAAACAAAGTAATCCTCCGAGAAAGATACTGAAAAAATTCTTTGATTTCTGTGTACAATGCTAATCAAAGTTATCTGTCTTCCGTTATCAAGCAGAGATCAAGTTTCTTGTATCATATTTTACGGATGTTACATACTCCTAATTGAAGATGAATCATTCATCTTGCTAGAAAAAGACAAATGAATGTTCTATTTTTCACAATACAGATTCATATATCTGAAGTAAATGAAAGAGAAAAATAGAAGGAAATTTTTGTTTATCTACGTTGGTTACAAGCATTATTTAATCGTCGAGTTGTATGTATAGATAAGGAGAAGAGTAACTGCGTACACATGCGGAACAGCAGTACTACCGTGCGTTATCCTTAAACTTCTCCTCTACTAACTATTGATGAGTGTAAGAAATAACCTGTGATCAGAAAATAAATCCAAGTCATTGTATTAACAAACACTTCTTTCATTTCCACACCTCTTCGATCTGTATCAATTTAAAGTTCTTTCGTATTCTCTCAAAGTTACAACAAACACTTCAAAATGACTGTAATAAATACAATGTCGCTAAGATAATACGGAGAGAAACAAAGATAATGTCGAGCATCTTTGAGAGTTTGCATATCTGTTGATGACTGGGATGTGCGAAATCTCTGTTTGTTTCTCTTCGTTTTGTTTTGATGACGTAACATTCAATAGTCTTCTTCAGCTGTTTGTTGCAATTAACCAATAGTCTGAATGTTCAATTAACTCTCTGTAAAAAGGTGCACATATCAGTCATACCATTAGATTCAGTTTAGACATTTAAATACAGTAAAACCGATTTTTTTAGAGTGTAAGATGAACACTGACGGGACTTTTTAAAAAGTGTTCATTAACGGAGGTGTTCATCTTATGGAGGTTTCAGGTTGAATGAAGTTTTACATGTAAAATCATCAGCATTTGCTACACCAAGGTGGTGACGAATTTGCGGGGCTTGTTCTTGTATGAGTGAACCTGAAACAGGAATGTTCTTACTAAGTTGAATGACAAACCATTCGTAAACTTTTTCATTGAGCTGTTGATTAAATTCATCTCGAAAGTTGCGTTTCTTGGTTGATTTATCATTTTGTCCGTAACTTTCTGTGTATTCTGTTTGCGTTTGACAATATTGGACACACTGCCGATCGAGATTTTGTACTTCTCAGCAAGTGTATTATATGAAGGGTTGTGTTCATTTTCACGAATTAATTCACTTTTTCACATAAAGTTCATGTGTTTTGTCGCCATTTTACAATCGAAGATGGAAATGTGTGTTATTCTCTCACATAGAATCGATTAACTCATTGCAGACTATTCGTTTTCATTGTTCTATTTATTCCATACATACGACAAAGCTGCTTGTGATGAATTGACCGTCAAAAATTGACTTATCATCGCTTTAATATGTAAAGTCTATTTTTTTCATCTCCTTATTTCATACACGAATGCATTGTTAATCATTGTGTGTTCACTATACAGAGAGTTTTTTCTACAGAAAGGACCGAAAAAAAGCGTTCATTGTTCAGAGTTGGGAGGTGTTCATCTTGCGGAGGTCTATTTATAGCAAAAATCGAGGGGGGGGGGGAACTAAAACCTCTGTTCAAACCGGAGGTGTTCATTATAGAGAGGTGTTCAATAATAGAGGTTTCACTGTATCTGAAAATTTTAATTCAAAAAGTAACTGAAATGAAAACTCACATACAGTGAGAAAGCGCAAAAACAATTACTATTACGATAGAATATTAAGACTGCACATTAAATAATGATCATTAAACATTTGAGACTATTGAAAAAGAGAGATTCATTCAAGGGGGAAACAGCGTACTTTTGGACTTGAAGTTACTTCGAGTTACTTGAAGTTACTTTGAGCTACATGAACCATACTTTAAGCTACTTGAAGTTACTTTCAACTATTTCAAAGATAATTTCTAGCTACTTTGCCTTACTTTGGACTACTTGACCGGTACTTCAAACTACTTCAAGCTACTTTCAACTACTATGAGCTAGTGCAGCTACTTTGGACTAGTTCGTGCAACTTTTAATTACTTAAAGTTTTCATGATATAGATCTAAAGGTCAATTTTCAATGTTATTAGTTTAACTGTTTTTGTGTTTTGCTTGCTAGCAGCATAACATTGAAAAACTTCATGATATAAGACAAAAGGACGGGGCTCTAGTATTAGGAAGTGCTTTACAATAATTTATTTGGGAAAAGTTATATACGAGACAAAACCATAATACAGCATACATCACTTTAAATGAAGTTAAAATAGAGAAAAAAAACGTTCATATACTACTTTTTTTTGATGAATATTGTTGTAATTGTGATGTAGTACGAGCAGGGCGGAGAAAGTTTTGAAATTAGGTCAGGCTCAGTTCAAGTTTATTTTATATCCTGAAAGCGTCTTTTACATATCGGCATGGGATAAATTGAGAAACTTCAGGTGATATACCGTTTCATACTATTATGTTTTGTTGTTGTCAAAAAATATTGCACTACCTCATTCTGTTCTTGATCAGTAGATTTTCTAAATTATTGTTGGAACCCAAAGTATTTCAACAAGCTATAAGAGTGATTTATTTTACATTATCGCATCAATCCAAAAAGACTTGTTTTTTTATATTTCACTATATAAGCGTTGGCATGATTTGTTTTGAATATAACTATAGGTCAATAAACAATAATTAAGTCAAAAGTTCGAAGCGTGATTTTCACTCGATTTAATGTACTAAAAGCTATCTTAGTAGTTGATATGGCAACCACAAACAGTTGAGACTTAAAAGTCGAATGTTCCTATATTAACTGACAAAAATATTAACCATCTATCCCTCATTAGTCACTAAAGTGGTCATTGGTGAAGAGCAACAAAAAGTGATACCTTAAAAAAATATTGTTTTTTCTATGTATCAATAATATTTGTTGACTTTCTATCTAATTCCGAGCGATTAAATGTCATTATTAGGTATAGACGAGAGGACTGCGACTTCTATCCGGTTGCCATTGAACCTTGTAGAACAGAAATTCGAATTGGGCAAATTTTTTTTATAGAGTACAGCATGCAAGCCATTACAAACTGACTAATACCATTTCATATTTATGTTAGAATCCCGACTAGCTTCGATGGATAGAAGGAGCTCGTTTCTGACAGGATCAAGATCATGACAAATATTGGGATCTTTCTTCCCATGCCGAATAATAACATATAACACTCATATCTACGAATAAAGTCAACTGTTGATTTAATTGTGCGTGCTTGTTAACAAATATTATTAATATAAAGAAAAAAAACAAGGTACTGTATTGATTTCTCTATATCATTGACATATTAAAGAGACCCATACTAAATTTCCATGATTATTTCACAAGTGATCCTTTCCAGAACTGCTTCGAAAGGTAAAGAGCTATGCATATTTCCCTTTACACGGAAGGTATGAATAATCATAACGCTCTCGCATCACTGTCTATATGCTGCTCTAGGGATTCAGATTTTATTTTTCAATCAGATACTGTCAATTCTTACATACCAGCATAAATGTATTCATCGATCAGCTTGAAGATAGAGAATAAAATAAAAAAATCAATGAAATGGTATCAATCTTATGTATGAATGTATGGTAGCGCTTGCTTATAGAGCTGTCATTTTCCTGTGAATTTAACCTATTTTGCTTCATGATTTGAGTATTAAAAATAAACCTATCATAATTTATGTTTAAAATGAATTATAATTATCAGAATTTTCATTTATTTGAATTTAAATTAGTGTTAATTTAATGTATGGACAAATTAAACTGAAAGTAAATGTAAACTGGCACTTCTACTTGCTTATCGGAACTGCATCTGTATGCCATATTTCATATAACTTATGTTGATTTATTTTTTCAAAGATCATGTTTAGATTAAAATATATAGCGACAGTTGCACTCATCTTTACAATCAATATACTGCCTACTCAGTTTAAAACATAACTAGCACTCAAACAAATAATTACTATAAGCATTTTATATGTTTTCATTTCGTTTGTGGATTTGCATTGACCATGATACTTTATTATTTGTAGGGTGTGGTAACACCGTTCAGAAATTGTAATGTTATTATATTCCTTTTGAGTGAGAAGAAGTTTATGTGAATACGATAGCATACTACATCATGTACAGTTATGGACGGTTGTTTACAGTGGTCGCTTACACACCACATTTCGTCATATACACGACACGGCGTGATACTATCGTAATTCTGAGGTCAAGTAATACGACGAAATACCATTGTGTTTGTTAGGAAATACAATCGTATATGGTCGCACATGATCATTTACGACGTTGTATATGATTGTTTACGATGGTCGTAATTTTTCTCCATGATTCTTATGTACAACGTAAAAAGAATTTACAATGTTATATCAATCATCTGTCAAAACCAAGAGACAACAGCTTCTATTAATGATATACCATTTGACGTAGATTGTTTTTGAACATGAATTGTCGTGAAGCGAAACATTTTTTTTTTCCTTGTAATAGTTTTATAAATTTCTATAAATAAAAGTAGTTGCATCACGTTATGACGAAAACGTACAATCAACACATAACATTTTCTTTTTCTCATACATACGCATCTATATATATATACATACGATATAGAATATCTTAGTATGGAGATGACATTCTTGTCTTTAACTGTCAACACAAGAAAACATTTCCATCAGACTTAATATTGTCTGAAACAATTAAACATTGAAGAAAAACTTTGTACTGTGAATTATTTCAAAGAAATTTTTTTATATAATCATGATTCTCGATAATTTCCATAAGAATTTTTTGAATATTTTCTCCAAAGAATTTCAAACATTCTGAAGGTGGAGAAATTGACAACTATTTACATAGAGCGTGATTTTAAACGAATGAATTAGATTTTTCTTTTTCATAATTATAAGAAATGTTACATTTTAAATGTCTGAAGTATCATTACAGAACGTTAGAATTTATTAAAATATTGGAAATGAAACATATATTGATGTAGAATATATAAATCAGCAATAATAGCAATAAATAATGAAAAAATTCAATTGTTATTGTTTATAAATGATCCTAATAGTCATGTTACTAAATTGTTGTACGTATGAACAATATTTAATATCAATTGAAATTAATAGTTCTGAAATTTGTTAATTAAATGATGGAAATTTAGCATTAATTAGTAATAAAGATATTCGTTGATTGAAAATACAAAGAGATAAAATAAAAAGATTTTTTTTTGTCATTGTAGTGAATATTAAAGATTATTAGATTTCGATGAAATGATTTTTTTGTTTTGAGAATATAATTGATATATTAGGCAATCAATGAGAATTGTCAATGTTTAAATCTATCAGCATGATATCTATACATTTTTCTTCTGTTCAAAGCTCATTCTCAATTGATCGATCAAGTTAATAGTCATTCATTCTCTATTCAAAGCTCTTGATCTCTGCTTGTATAATCAAAAGAGAAAAGAGAGAAGAAAAATAATCGTAGTTTGATCATAATATATAGACTACAGGATAATTGAAATATTCGATTATCATGATCGATTTTGTTCACGGTAAATTTTTTGTTTTATGAAAAACATAATCAATATTTATTTTTAGCTGAAAGTAAACGATTAAATTTAGCAAAAAGTGTTAGACGTCGTTTTTCTCATCATCAACATCGATGGAGACAAAAAGAAAGTTCGTATAAAAATTAGTTTAAAAATTAGTTATTATTTATTTTCAATTTTTAGATTTGCGTCATATGATTATTTTAATTAAAATAATCTATGCTATTATCTTTATTTGTTTAACAATTTCTACATGCCTTGATCAATATGTTGATGAAGAAAATAAAGATTCAAAATCAATTTTTATTCGTATATGGAATATATGGTATTCATTTTTAGCTCTTATTTTACTTTTATCACTACTTATTGATCATTTAAAACGACAAAATATTATTTCATTAAAATCGATTAATGTTATACATATGTTATTAGTTAGTGCTTTTATTATTTTTATTATTTTAGGTAAGATTAAAAAGAAAAAAAAACAATTTTCATCGATTTTTTTTTCTATTAAATTTCTTTACGAAGGTCATATTCAAGGTTTTTATCACTTATGGTGGTTATCATCATTATCATCAAATCAATCGACACGTCCAACATTTGTTTCAATTGTTTTTATTGATATATGTCCTATATCAATTACTATTATTATGACTATTGATTTATTAAAGAAACGTCGATCATGGCGTCATGTTCATATAAATACTATTATTTCGAATGTTTAGTTCTTTTCATTTTTGTTTATATTCTTATTCGAAATATTTCATAGTCGACTAATTTAGATACTGAAATTCTAATGTAGTTGAAGAAAAAAAAATCTACTTATATTTGTCATATTTTTTTTATCTATCTATGACAATCCATGTCACATGTTTATTTGCATTATCACTGGTAAACCGCAGTACTCATAAGAATCGACATTCTAACGGCAGCAAAATTATCTGCCAGAGAACAACTATTGGTGCGCTGTGATAGAACGGCGGTCAGAGGATAGCCAACCGTATGAGTATTAAACTACCGCAGGTATAACGTACATTATACAGAACGCCTTACTGGTGGGTTTTGTGTTCGATTCGAATCATGTGGGAAGACTACATCCCATTCAATAAAAAAACAGCTTATTTATATCGGATAATACTTTCATTTTTTTAAAATCTTATGAGTAATGCTCTCATTAGTAATATTCAGTTGTTTAGAGTATCGATAACTATTTATATTAAACATAAGTCTTGATGAATTATAATAACTAACGGTTACTTGATACGAACATTTTAAAAAAAAATGATTTCATTACATGAATATACCAGAGCACATATAATCAATCATACACTATTCAATGACTTGCCAAAGTAAAACTTGTCAAATGACTCTCTTTCAAAGTTGTTGCGCTAGATATTTTCAAGATGACTCTTTTAACAGCATTAAATATGCCGAATTGCATATCAACAAAGAATATGAATGTTTATATGTGTTCATGTATACTCTATTGTTTCAATGGATTCATTTGAAAAGATCAGTTTTTTTTAAAGATTCAGAGAGAGTGAACGTTAGTCAGCATAATTCATCAAGACTAATCTTCTAATATGAATAGTTGTTGACATTCTAAAAAGCAGAATGTTAGCTGTGATAGGATAATTTACAAAAGCTCGTGATTATAGAATTTTATTAGCTCAAAATGCTTTTGAGTGTGCTTGATATATTTAAATCAGTCAATTTTATTCAATTTTGGTGCAACGAATGTTAAACATTACACAAAAAATTCAAGGATCTTTTCAAAGATAATTCTTCTAAATTGGAAAATCATCGAAAAGTTCCTCTGATGAAAATAATCAAAACTGAAATCAATTGTTTTTCGTTACAATAGTTTCACAACAATTAATAAATACAAAAAGAAAAAAAATTTGAAGTGCAACTTAATATATGACATTCTCAATTAATGTCAACAATTTAACTAACATTCATTTAATCAAAAAAATGAATAGAAGATAATTCTAATGAATTTTTATTTATTTAACACTTGTTTTTTTTTTGAAGAGAGATTGAAGAGAAGTTTTGTTGTTTTTTTTTTTTGAGGGAAAAAATCATTTATAATATTAAGCATACAAAAAAGAAGACACAAGACATAACAACATTTAGAATCAGACGTTTAGATATAGATATTAAAACATTAAGTTGAAGATTCTTTTTCGCCATATCGATTATGACTTCGACGTTCTCGTCGTGAACTCTAAAAAAAAACAAACAAAGAGTTAAATTAATATTATATTAAATATGAAAATAATAATGATTAACCTTTGATGGAGATGTACTAATAATTTCATTCGATGTTTCATGTTCTTTATCATCATTACATCGATGACATGTCCAACCATAATTACGTCGTTTTGGAAAAGATGATAATGGTGGCATACAACAAGCAAAATGATAATAATTTTTACACTGATCACAACTAAAAAAATAATTTATATATAAAATAAAAATGAAAATAGATTAAAAAAATTCCAATGAATATACTCTGTCATTGTTTGATTTGTTCCTTGATTTGAACATTCTTTACATCGAGCATCAGATGGAACATTATTAGAAATAATTAATGTTGAACGTTTACTCTTTCGATTTGGTGTAATTTCTTTTTTTTCTTCTTTATCAATATTTTCTTTTTTTTCTTGATAAATATTTTCTTTTTTTCGTTTTTTTATTTTCTTTTCATTATCATTAGTTGTTATTGATGAATGAAGTTCAATAGTACCATTTGCATTTTCATCATCATCAAAATCAAATATTGACATTGGATCTTTTGTTGTTTTACGTTTTTTCTTTTCAGATTTTGTTATTGGAAGTGATACAGCTTTTTGTTTAAAAATTGTTGGTGTTCGACGTTTTATAATTAATGATTTTGATCGAGCAGGAGTTACTGGTGAATCTAATAGAATATTAATTTAATAATAAAGAGAATCAATTGTGTGTTTTAGTTTCTTACTATTGGATTTTGATTTTGGTGATTTTTTAATTGATATTCGAGGAGACTTTTGATTAGTTGAACTAAATAAGAAAAAAAGCAAAAATATTTTAAAAGTAAACAAAAACAAATCTCAATAATTATTCTTATTTCGAATTTCAATTAATGATTCATAGAATTTTATAGCAAACGTTTTCCATTAGAAATATATATGTTTGTTTATTTAGTTAATTTATTTATATATATATATATACAAACAAAAATAGGAATATGTGAATTGGAAAAGATCATATGATAGAAGAACTTTATCAAGTCGTTTATTTGGATTTTAAAAAAAATCCTTTTCTTTTACCAAGTATTCAGTAGTATAATTCAATGGACATTTTCATAACTTCTTATTGATATGTATTGAAAATACTCTCAATCGAATATCAATAGATTTGAGATAAAGCATGTACCAAACTCGAACATTCGGATTCAATCTTGGATGCAATCATTTTCAGCTAATTAATAAAAGGTAGTAGAAATAAACCAAGAGAAAGAATTTTAAGCTTGGTCATAGTATATCTGCACTCAATGGAATAAATCATTCAAAAACTGAACGTCTGCAGACATCCTAAAAAAAGTAAACTATATTGAGAAATATTCGAACCTAAACTTAATCAAATCTTAGGATACTTTCATGATTGCCCATATACTTAGTGTCCTGCGAGAACGATATTAAAAAAATAAATGTCGAAGTGAATTTCATGTTTTATTGAAAAGAATAATAACAAATAGGTATGAACAAAAATTAGATAAATTCATTTATTATTGATTAAAGTGTAATTCAATTATTATAACTATTATTTTGTTTATGATTATCATCTTCGAAAGGACTATTATTCAGATTATCTTGCAATATATAGTGCATTATTATTGTCTTCTTCTCTTCAATGTTTTCCTTTTTTCATCAATGTTTTTGATGTAATAGTACTCTTTTTTTCTCCTCTTTTCAATTATTGAATTCATGAAGAAAATAATTCTATTAACTGAATGTTGATACATTTCAAGGTATAAATCATAATTGATTTATTTTACTATAATATATCTCGAATAATAATTTTTCTTTTTAATTTAGGGTTATCTCACGTTGTATAGAGTGTGATGTTGACAGAAGCTACTGTTTGATAATGATAGTTTTTTTCAAACCCGAAACGAAACACTGAACCACAGTTGAGATTCGGTGTATGTCTACGTATAAATAGTGATAAGTAGAATAAAAGTTATCATAAATTGAAAATTTTACTAAATTATTCTTTTTGAAACAATATCAAAGACATTGATGGTACTCTATTTTTCTAATAAAAATTTGTAAACCTCTTTTTTGGTGACGAAGAAGTTCGTTTTGGTAATGGTTCTGGAGTAAAATCAGTTGTTTTTCTAGTAAATAATTGTTTAATAACTGATGTTCGACTTTTACTCGTTGTTAATTTTTCATCATCTCGTTTTAAATTTGTTGTTTCTTTTGATGGTGATGAATCAACATTCGAACTTGTTTGTTTTGATTTAACATTCGATTCATCTGTTGATGGTTTTGTTCTTTTATTATTTGTTTTTTCTTCTTCATTATTATTAGTATTATTATTGTTGTTCGAATTTAGTTCTTGTTTTCGTTTTCTTGAACCAAACTAAATTCATAATAAAAAAGAAAAAAAAGAAAATATCGATATTTTATTGTTAATTTACTTTAATAAATGTTTCACGTAAAACAAGTTCATTTGTACGTCTTGGTCGTATTTGACGAGGTTCATCAACATTAACATTACATTGATCAAGTTCTTCTTGTTGTGCATTAACACACGAAGCACATTGCCTTTAGAAAACGAAAAGCAAAAAAATAAAACAAAAATATTTGAATTAAGAGAACGAAAATCTAAAATAAAAAAATAAATTTACCAATCATATTTTTTACTAGCTGATAACATAACTGATAATGTTTTAGGAGGCATTGCTGGTGTTAAACAATCACCATGAAATGCTAAATGACATTGACAACATTTTATCATTTGATTTGATCGATCAGTTTGTTTACATACTGAACAACTAAATTAAAATTTAATCATTTAGAAAACAAAACAAATAAATGTAATATCCAGTGGCGAAGCTAGAGAGCCTAAGTCTTCTTTGGCTCGCGCCACTGGAAATATCTATGTTTTAAATAACAAACCAATCATTTTCTGTTGTTGTTATTGTTGAAGATAATTGTGGAAATTTAATATTTAAAAGATGATTTGTTGTATCATCTTTTAATTGACAATTATAAAGTTTAAATATTTCAATAAATTCATTATATCGTTCAGTTAAAGAAGCTAATGTTTCGTATTCTTTTTTAAGTTCAGTTTCAAGCTAAACAAAGAAAAGCTTTAAATAAAAAAAATCTTTTAAGCAAAAAAAAAATCAAAATTCAACTTTTTTATGTTCTTCTTTTAATTGTTTATCACTTGAAGATAATTCTAATTGAGCAAGTTTATTTTCTGCATCAGTAATACGTTCTCGAATCTGACTAAGTTCTTCTTCATTTGCTGTAAATGCAAGAAGAGCATTTGTATCTGTTGATGTGAGATCAAAATTATTTGGTAATGTTGTTGATTGATTAGGACGGAGACGTTGAGCTTTGTCAAAAAAATTTTTCAATGCTACTGGATCAACCATTAATGATCTTTTCAAAAAAAAAAGAAAACAAAATTCCGTTATGTTTATTAATAAAATTTTGTTTTCATACCG